TATTTCTCCATCAGTTTTAGAGGAGGGTTTTGCAGTATACATAGATTGGGGGTGGAAGTTGTTATCTTTCAGGGCCTGAAACACTTCATTCCAAGCCTTCCTGGCCTTTAAGGTTTCCAGAGAGAAGTGGGCTGTGGTTCTAATGGGTTTACCTTTGTATGTGATTTGTTGCATTTCTCTAACACCTTTAAAGATTTTGTCCCTGTGATGAACTTCTGGAATTTTGAGTAGAACATGGCATGGAGAGGTTCTCTTTTGGTTGTGGTTATTTGGTGTTCTATAGACCTCACTTATCTGTATGCTTATTTCTTTCCCTATATTTGGGGAGTTTTCTGCCATTGTTTCTGTGAAGATTTTTTTATGCCATTTGTGTTTTCTTCTTCTGATTTTTCACTTATTCCAATTATTCTTGAATAAGTCTTTGCAGCATCTAGCAGATGTTGGATCAGTTTTTTTCTCTCTTTTTTTTTTAAGGTGTCTTTGAGTAGTTGGTCTTTGAAGGTATCATTGTCTTGTGGTTCTGAAAGTCTGTCCTCTCATTGGTCAGTCCTGCTGCCCGTACTTTTAATATGATTTTTAATCTCCTGGATTTCTGATTAAAATCTTTTCATGGATTCTAATTACTTGATAAACTTATCATTCATGTTTTGTATCATTTTGTTTAGCTCATCTAGTTTTCTATTAGTTTTCTTCTGAGAGCTCCTGCATCTTTTTGGTTATTACTTCCATATTGTTAGTTATATCTTTTCTAATCCCACTGACTATCTCTTTGAGCTTTTTTCTAACCTCCTCTGCTACACTTTTGAGTAATTTAAGTGTGTGGCTTATATTAGTCTGCCCCATGGGGCTCCCGTGATTAGCTTGGGGGAGTTGGGGGTTTTGGGAGGCATTTTGTTGCCTTTTCTTCCATATTTTTATTGTCTTTGTTTGTTTGTTTTGTCTTAAGTTTGTGGGTGCTTATAGTCTAAAGACTTTGTTGCAAATATAGAGATCTCTTTAGTTGCTTTTCGATGATGTACTTTGGGCATGGCTAACTATAATACTTTGCCGCAGCCCCAAACTTCTACCGCCTTGGTTATTTTGGGAAAGGAGGATACAGTGTAGTTAGCCTAGCATCGAAGTCCTCTGGGAATGTACTTTAGTGTTGTTAATGTAAACAAGGCTCATAAAGGACAAGAAAAAGCATTCTCAAATTAGGAATAGAATAGACAAAATACATGATTGTAATTGGAACATTGTCCTTCTAGTCTGAAGGTTTTAGTTGTGGGAACGGGTGTGAGTTACTCTGACCTAGGCTGGTAGGCTTCTGCCAGATTCACTTCTATAAACAAGCCAATTGTGGGGTTAACTCTTTACAGCTTGCCTTGGGCATAATCAATATTACAGTCCTCTGCATTGTAGCAGTGTCCAATTCAGGCACGACTCTGGAAATGATTGTAACAGGGGAGAGGACAGATGCTATGAGTAAAGTAATACAGTTAGCTAGGTAATGAATTAGAGTGTGCAGGGAAAGCCTTCCAAATTTTAAAGGAGAAGGCGACTTTGCAAAGATCTGGAAGAAAAGGCTCTAGGCAGAAAGATTATCACATGCAAAGGCCCTGAGGCTGGATGGGCCTCGGTAGCCAAGGAACAGAAAGGCCAGTGTAACTGGAAAGTAGTAAGAAGGTGGAGTGTCAGGAGAAAGGGGAGTGGTCCAGGATGGGTCTAAGAGGGATGGCTGCGGTTAAACTGTGGAAAATGACTCATGAGGAAGGCAGTAATGGAAGTCAAAAAATACAAAGGAAGTTGTTGCAGTAGGACTGGGGGCTTGGACCCTGTTGGTGACCTTGGAGTGGGAGCAAAGTGTGTGGATTCTGGATGCATTTCAGTGATCGAGTTAGCAGAGAGTGCTGGTATATTGCATGAAGGGGATGAATAAAGAAAAGAATAAAGGATGACTATTTTTGGCTTGTGCAACTGGGTAGATGTTGGTGCCATTTGCTGAGGGAAAGGGAGGCTCAAGCCAGAAGCTGTGTTTCAGCTTGCTAAGTTTGAGATGCCTATTACACAACCACGTGGAGATGTTGTGTGTGCAACTGGGTATGAGAGTGTAGAACATAAGGGCAAGATCAAGTCTGAGGACATGAGGGGCTGTCCACAGCAATGCAGAGTGTGCTGTTGCTAGCTGTCCTTGCCTTGGCGGGACCACCACTTGCTCCTTTCTCCCCCTGAAGTTCTTTTGTCCTGCTGGATGTAGGTGGGCGGGAGAGGGTGGGGCAGAGGTATTGGAGCAGGAACGGGAGGCAAGCACAGAGTTCGGTCTCCATAGACATGGTGGTTGATCACCACGGTTCTTTTCTTGAGGGGTCCTATATATTTTTAGGCTCCCTCTGACTCCTGATTTTTCAGGTCCCACTTTAAAAGTCACCTCGTCAGAAAGACCTTCTGTGACATCCTGTCTTAAGTGGGTCTCGTCCCTGAGTCTCCACCCCCACTGTATCTTTTTGACTTTCGTGTTCTTGGCTTCATTCAAAGTACCCGTAATCATTAGTTTGTGTTCATTGTTTTTCTCCCCCATTGGAGAGAGAATTTAACTCCATGTTGGAAAGAAGTATTGTCTTGTTCATCAGCAGCAGCCAGAACTAGCACAGTGTCAAGCACATAGTAGATGCTCAATAAACCTATGTTGGAGAATGTGATGAGGGGTCTCTGACACATCATGGCTTAGAGTGGGCTAACTGAACCGCCAAGAGTGGGCTGGAGGCAGCCTCATTAGACTCAGCCCAAGAAGAATAGGTTTTTAAGGACAGCGCAGGAGGGCTGGGAAGTAGCTCAGTAACAGAGCTCTTGCCCAGTGCGTGCCAGGACCTGGGGTCCATCTCTAGCACCACCAAATAAATAAATGAAGAATAAAGAGAGCACAGGGAACAATTATCAGGAAGTGTAGAAGCAAACTACGTGGCAGATTTCCAAGCCCCACTGGATGCAGGCTGCCATTTGCATTAACTGCTGAGCACCGTGGCATATGCAACCTTGTTAGTAAGACCATGGGCCAGAGATGGACGAATCCACTCCAACCTCCTGCTAAGCCCCCAAAGCAGAAGATTTCTGTAAACATTTTTGTTCTCATGAGATGTCATGGCCAGCAAGCTGAAAAACCAGGTGGCTGTATGCCAACTGCCTCGTTTTAAATCTAGTCCCTTACATGGAAAATGAAATTGAGAAAGAATGTAAGAATTCTAATCAGAATCTGTCCCCTGCAGTGGAGAAGGCTATTTTTATGTTCCAATCCAACACACTGGAGAGTTCTGGGAATGTAACATGTATCCAGCTTCTATCAGAAAGCCCAGAGTGAGAACTCCTGCTAAGGAGGAAGCCAGAAATGTCCCAAGATCTCTATTCTCCAAGTCTATGGAAAGATAGGATACAGTGGGTCCAGTTAAGAAAGCAGGCATTAAAATAATAGAAAAAGCCCGAGGGAAAATTGAAATGGTGGACACTTTGAACTTAAGAGTTCTGAAGGAGATTGATTTGTGCACGTGAATTAGCCAGTGGGAGAGGCAGGAGCGTGAAGACGACCCTTCTAACTTCCCCCACTGTGAGAGAGGTCTGAGTCCTGGTGTTGTGTAATATATACAGGGAGGCGCTAGAGTTTGTTTCTCTTTTGAAATACTGTTTATGCCTCTTTTTGGTGAGATTTTTAAAAGTCTGTCTCTCACTAAAAGGTTAGTGTGATGAAGCACTGGAAACATCTGTATGTCCCGATCATCACTTTGTAGGGAAATGAAAAGCAGAGAAGGGAGAGGTTAAATGTTTCCCGTTTAAGCTTCCAGGAAAAAGGAGATGGTGACTCCTCACGCCCAAAATGTCACCAAAATTGGATTATTTAAAAGCTATGAAATGACGCTGACCACCCACTGGCACTTGGTATCTAACACAAAAGTGGCCAAAATGAGTTGGGAATAGAGCTTTTTTCTCAGAGATATCGACGGTTCTCTGTGAAACGCTGTGTAGTTGTTTTCTGTGTTCTAACAGTTGAGTTATAATGTTCCCTAAAATAAAGAGCAGTGATCCAGTCCTTCTAGTTCCGCTGCAGAGGTAAAGTGGTAAAGTGACCAGTGACCCGCCTAGGCTGAGCACAGATAACGTGGGTGACATGGGAATATTTAAGCAGAGAGGGACGCTGCACAGTGGGAGTTAGGGCTGTGGGAGGCTCCTCCCGTCTTTCCGTATTTTCCCGAGCTGAAAGCCATCCTGGCTTTCCCAGCCCCACCCTCATCAGTGACCCTGCCACATGTCACTAGTGGGCTGTCAGTGCTGGTGTGGGCCCGAGGGGCCACTGGGGTCCAGCCTCAGAAGGCTGTCTGGGTTGAAGGACAGATGGAGGGAAACTTCTGTAGGGAAGGCCAGGCAGGTGTTCTACTCACCATCACCAATGCTCGTGATCAAAACAAGAAAAAAAAAAAAGGATGAAATTTTAAAAATTGTTTTCTCTTAAAACGATGTGTTGCTTCCCTCTCTGAAGTCCCCTGCGGCATATATGCCTGGCACGAAGGATACTGGGTGGATCTGAAGGCTCATGCCTCTGGGATGTTGATGTGGTTACCTGGATGAAAGCCGTGGAAGAACCAGGCTGGCCCCTCCCTGGAATTGATGCTTAGAAAAACTTTCCACTTGGCCTTGGGCTGGGCCGCCTAGTGATTTGCAACTGCTTGCCTCTTCCAAACTAAACACTTGGGCCTGAGTTATTAACTGTAATGAAAGTAACTGCCTTGAGGAATCAAAAGCAAAATCACAAAAAGAAAACCAGTTTTCAACACAGCTGGTAAATGACAATGTGGGATTTAGGGAAAGCTTCCCTTTGGAAAATATCCAAGCACTTGAGCAACTGTAAAAAAATCAGTCCCCTTAATCCATTTTCAGGGGCAGTGTTGAAAGTAATATAGATATAAAAAGGATCGATCAATTGATTGGCTGATTGATTTTAAATTTGCTGATGGATCACCTCTCTGCCTTCACAGAGAAAACATTTCTGCTGAGCAAGAGTAAAACCCCGCACTGTGCGGTAGCTTCTCAGTGATGGCCTTTTGCTCGTGAAGCATTCTTCCCATCGTTGGACATTTCTTGCTGGAGCCTGGAGAACCAGCAGAGAGAAGGTGCTATGGACCTCGTGTATGAGTTCCCCCCGATGCATATATGAAACCTTAATCCCAAGTTGGGCGGCATTTGAAGGTGGAGCCTTTGGGAGGGAATTAGATCGTGAGGGTGGAGCCGTCACATTGGCGTCAGTGCCCTTCTAGGTAGAAACAAGAGCGACTGCTGCCTCTCTCTGTCGTGTGAGGACGCATGAGCAGGTGGCTGGTGGCAAACCAGGAAGTGGCCTTCGCAGCCACCTAACCTGCTAGTCCCTTGACTTGAGGCTCCCACTGGCCAGAACTGTAACAAATAAATATTTGTTGTTTGTGCCTCCTGGCCCATGGTATTCTGTTATACCAGTAAAAACTGACTAAGACAGAGTGGTCTCTAAAGAAGGGATTGAACAGAGATTGGAGTTGGTCCACAGAGTTTTTCGAGCTTCTGACCCTGCAATTCTCTGCACTTATAATTGAGTCTTCTCAGCTCCTTGCTGAGTGCTGGAATAGATCAAGCCCACAATAGGTGACTTATCAGTGTTCTTGTGACTTGCAGTTCCCTTCAGAGTTGCCAATTGTCCTTTATAAAAAGATGCAGACACTAGTGGAGGTGGTAAGGAAATAGTAGAGATACGATAACCGTGTATTGGGAGAATGTACCATTCTTCCCACGGGAGATGCTTTCATATTAGTAAACTGAGTTATCAGAGCTTAGCTGAGGCTTGCTGACTCTGTGATGGTGCCCCAGGTTTCCCAGCTCCTGATACTCATGTCCTTGTGTACTGTATAGCAACTCCCTCTTTGGTGGGGTAGGAACTCTGACCTGCTAATAACAGCATGTTGTAAAGGTGCTGGGAGGTCACTTCCATGAAGAGGTGACATCAGATTGTACCTTCTGTCTCACTTGTAGACTTTCTCCTCTGTCCTCTTGGCTCACGTGTTTGGTGAAGCAGGCAGCCATGGCGGAGGGGCCCACTTGGCAAGGCACTGGGGGTTTGTGTTCCACAACCCACAGGAAACGGATTCCTGACAGCAATCGTGTGAGCTTCAGGATGGAGCCTTCCCAGTTGAGCCTTCAGGTAAGACTGCAGCCTTGGCCAACACTGTTCTTGCAGCCAGTGACAGACCCTGGAGCAGAGAGCCCCTCCCCCCAGGCCCTTCCCAGGTCCTGCCTATAACATTAGTAGGGCAATAAGTGTGTGCTTTTTTAAGCCACCAAGTTTGTGGCAATTTATTACATAGTAAGATAGAGCTGTATATTGATCTAAAGTATCTACATTTGGAACAGCTTAGACATGGAGCCTCTCCAAGTACCTCAACTTACATCTTCTTACCAAGGGAGTCCCCAGAATAATATGCCACAGAGTAAAGTATTTTCTCCAAAGAGAAATGACCTCTTTTACCCTCAGAGCAGTGATTTCTCAGTCCTGGCTGCGTATTATCATCATGTGGAAGGTGTTTTGTTTTTGCATTTTTTGGCTTTTTAAACTGTATTGAACACTGATGCTGGAGCCCCACTTCAGTAGGAAGGGGTCACTTGCAGGTACCCTTTTATTTATATCTCTCAGTTGTTCCTAATGGGCAGCCAAAGTGGAGAACCATGAGTTCAGAGTTACATTATATAAATGCCTGGCACTTCCACGGTGACAGTTTTGCCCTTGTTTACAGCATCCAAAGGTTCAGAAATATTGAAGTCCACTCCCAGAATATCCAGCTACACAATTAAGAAATGTTTTTAATGAAAGGAAAGGACATTTCTAAATCTGGTTTAAATTTTCCCATTTTATTGGACAGGAAGAAACAAATGCCAGATCATGGGGTTTGTGCCTAGCCAATTGGCAATGAGACTCATCTCACAGGGACAGAGTGATGCAGCAGCTCGTGGTCCTTTAATGGAAATTGGGATTCATTTTTAAAACCCAGATAGTCAAAAATTTCATTTTAATTCCTTTTTTTTTTCCTTCTCCCTTGAGCCTTTAGCAAAAGCTAAAGAAACCCCCACACCATCCAGTTTTATCCCTTTGCTAATGTGCAGAACCGGGAGCCGATGCCAGCCAGCTCTGTAGATACCAAGGGGTTGGCAGAAAGAGGGTTGGGTGGGAAAGAAAAGCAAGGAGCCTTTTAAACTCCCTCCATAGATAAATACAGTCTGTGCAACCAAGAAGTGCCTTTGCCACACTGCTTGCTTTGTGGGTTGATTGGATGAGATGGGAAGCTAATGGTATTCTTCAAGGATGTTTTGTATGGTCCTATACTCCAGGAAAGGTAGGAGCTAGAAAGAGGCTGGGTCTTTATACACAGAACAAATAGCTTCAGATCATGGCAGTTCAGTTGCTGTGGGATGTAGCCATGGAAGACACTGTTTAGAGGTGGGATTTTCTTTGAGACCAGCAACTAAGAGGACCCAAAACACACAGAACTAACAGCCTTGCTGTTGGCCAGGGCCAAGGCAAGATGGGAAACCAGGATCCAAGAAAGAAGAAGGCTGAGTGGTGAAGTTATTCTTTGGCTCCTTCCCTTCATATCTCCAGTTCTTATGGTGCTGGGAACCTGGTACAGGATGCTGCCCTCTTCACTTCTTTGTTCTTTCTTCCCCAAGCATTTAGTTATTGTCACACTGTGCTGGCCACAGCTCTGACCTGAGGAAACTTGCAAAGCAGTGAGGGGACAGACACAAGAGCTACTCAGAAGGAAATGTGGTCAGTGGTAGAATGAGTGTATCCCCAAGATGCTACAGGGTCCCAGAGAGGGGAGTGATCCATTCCAATTAGGAGGTCACAATCCCTTCACTCAACAAGATTTGGATGACAGTTGTTTCAAAATGGTGTGAGTATACTTAACACCATTGAACTGTTTCCTTTAAAATCTTACCATTTTAACCATCTTAATGTATTATATCTTTTACTACAATTTTGTTTTAAAAGATACATAGTAAAACTTTCCAGTTGGCATAGACTGGATACCCAAGGCTTCTCTATAGCTGCTTATTTCCAAACTATACAATTGTAAAGAACTACAACATTTGCTATGGAGAATAGAATCAGGATAAATTTTGAGCAAGATTCTGACACATGAGAGAAGTTTTCTTAGTGGAGGTAGACAAAGGGAGGCCAAGGCAAAAGGCAGAGGGAATGATATAAGCAAAGCTGCCAGGTGCTGGGTGAATTGGAGTGTTGAATGAATTGTATTCGGTGTTGTTCAGAATGAAGAAATAGGAGAAACAGATTTTTAAAAATTGCAATGAAATTTACATAACAAAAATCACTATTTTAACTTCCTTAAAGTGTGGAATTAAATGTTTTTGGTTCACATTCACACCAATATGCAAACAATCACCATTATCTAATTCCAGAACGTTTTATCACTCCAAAGGATATCCTGAACCCAGTTCCCATTCACCTTCAGCACCTGACAACCACTTACCTACTTTCTGGCCTTTTGTTTTTCTGCTGTCTTTCTGGGACTCTCATTGTGTATGCGTTGATGTGCTTGATGGTGTCCTACAAGTCTCTTGGGCTCTGTTCATTTTTCCTCATTCTTTTTTTTTTTTTTTGGTACCGGGGCTCGAACTTGTGTCCTTGTGCTTGTGAGGCAGGCAGCTGAACCACTGAGCTAAATCCCCGGCCCTCCTCATTCTTTTTTATTTATCTGTTTCTGCCTGAATAATTAATCCCAATTGACTAATATTCAAATTCACTGATCTTAATTCTGCCCATTCAAATCTACTGTTGAATCCTTGTAAGTTTTCATTTCAGTTGTTGTACTTTTTAACTCCAGAACTTTTGATTCTCTTTCATAATTTCTTGTTGCTCTTTTGTTTGGGGGGAGATGCTCTCCCCTCCCTCCCCTTCCTTACTTTCATTGAGCCCAGGACCTTGTATGTGCTAAACATGGCCTCTACCAGTGAGCTACAAACCCAGCCCCTATTCTCCTGATTTATGTTTTATTATTTATCTGTTTCAGCAGTACTAAAAAATAGAAATTTCAGGGTTTCTTTTTGACTTTTCCTAACATAGTATCCTTAGCCCCATGGTTCAAGGAGTCAATGTATTTGCCAAGAATGTTTGTCCCAACTCTTAGGAGCTGGGGAAAGTAACCCCATAAATGGCTTGCCAAGACTTAATGTGAGATGGACTTGTGGCACAGTATAACTTACTATCAGACCCCCATTAGCATCACCTCTGACTCTTGTCTTGGTGATAGTTCAGCAGCAGTAGCAGTGATCTCACAGAGACTTTAGGATTCCCTTGCTTTGCTGTACATTTCCATCTGTAGCTCTTTTGCACAAGTCTAGGAATATTAGTGACATGTTTTAATGTTACAGTGGGGCCTTCAAGGGATCTGACCAGACCTTGGCCTGTCTTTAATCAAGGGAACTGTGAATTATCTTGGTCTTGGAATCAGTTGAAGGACTAGTACTCTTCTATGAAATGACTCAAATTAGACTTCTATTTACCAGATGTAGATTGATTGATTGATTGATTGATTTTAGTTATAGAGATGAGTCGAATCTGGTGCTCAGTAAGAGGTCCATCTATTCATCCCTGGGAACTGCATGATCAATCATTTGGTTGATCTCTTTGGCCATGCTTCCTGTTACAGATAATGTACCCACTTTGCTTCTGAGGGTGGTGCAGGAAGAGATTGAGATCTTTATGAAATATCTATCTCAAGTGAGGCCATTACATGGCCTTTATACTCCAGGTCCCCACTATCCACATAGAGATCAGGGACCCACTTTAAGGGAACATCTACTACATTCATGTCTGACCTTCAGAGGATGCTACCTACCTTAGTGCTTTTCAAGGATGCCAACATTCAACATTTTCAAAAACAAAGTTGCAGGTCTTCTCAGGTGCCAAATTAGGGACTAGGTGACTAGGTTATAGCTTGAGCCTAATCTCTATGACACTTTGAGTTATTTTATCTAAATTATACCTAGGAATTTCTGGCACCTCAATTTAATCTAGCATCATACTATGGAGTCCAGATTTTAAGTAACTGAACAAACATTTAGAATCATTCTCACTTGCTTGAACTAGTCAGCACATTAAATATAGAAGCTCTTTCAAATGCATAATAAATTCTGTGCAATCTAAAATTAGATTTCCTCCTCTGTAGTTTAGGAGAGACACTAAATATCCATTCCTACCATACAGTCCCTCGGGTTTAGCCAATATAAATTAGCAAAATACTAAAATTGTTTTGGTATATTAACCTTTTTCCAAGAGTGGTTTTGTGATAAGCCTCATGTGTGGTTACTCTAATAATAGCTCTGGAGGTAGGGTGGGCAGAGCCAATGTCGTGGGCCGGTGACCAATTCAGTCATGCCAAGCCTCCTGTTCAGAAAGGTCTCACACTTGGTATTGTTCTCTGTTGTCACTGCTTGAAATTCTCAACAACTTTTAAACAAGAACCTCGGAATTGTCTTTCTGCATTGGGGTCTGCAACCTATGGAACCAGTTCAGAGGGTGGGGCAGGAAGATATTGGGCTCCTCATAGAAGATCTAATTACATGGTTCTTAAGCAAAGTGAGATCCATTTCATCAGATTGGGAAGGAATTTCTGCTTCTGCTAGCAGAGCCAGGGAGGTCAGTAAGATGTATGAGTTCAGAGTAATCAGACTTAATGTCTGCAGTAAGATTTTTGGAGTCCTTCTTGTTTCATGAGATTTTCTTGTGAGTTCTGCTAAGAGTATGACTTCAACTTAAGGTGCCCCATATCTGTTTTTTGGCTATGTTGGCTTTGTGATTAAATAACTGAAATTTTCTAAGTTTATATCAAGAATTTAAAACCTTAAGCCTATCTGTTATTTCTGTTATTTTTTTAAATTCTCCAGTATAGTTGGAAGAACATTCAACTCCATAGTTCTGTGTCCCACTCTCCAGAGCTGACTAGAACTTAACTATTTTCAAAACCAATCAAATTAGATAATTCTTTCTGGATTCCAGTTGCTTTGAAGTATGTTACTTGTGACCACTTCTGGTACCAGTTACTGAACCATTAATGACAGAGACCTGAAATAACAGTGACTCAGGGAAGAGGTTTTCTCTCATAGATCCTAAAGCCAGGCTGTATGTCAAGGCTGGTCAGGTAACTCTGCATTGTTGTTACAGACTTTGCTCCTTTAGCTCTTTTCTCTGTCATATATAGTAGTGTACAGTTTCTGCCCAGATGTTTGCTTCATGTCACAAGATATCTGTTAGTGCTCCAGCCATCACATACAAGTTTAAGGAAAGAAGAAAAGGAGAGAAGGGGACAAAGAATATCTGCTAGCTAATTAGGCACCCTTTAGTTTTCCTATAAGATCTACCCAGTAACTATTCTTTACATCTCATTGATCTCTCAGTGAAAGGCTCAAAAATATAGCCTGGATATGTAGTTCTGTTATAATTTGGTACATTACCACCCATAATACATAGGGGTTCTATTGGGAGAACAGATAGTGTGAAGTAGCTATCTCTAAAAATGCTAAGGCATTTTCTAGATCTGGCTATCAAACTTGGTTGCCACTATCCTTATGTGGTTACATAAATTGAGTAATTAAAATTAAATTAAAAATTTGGTTCTTTAGTAACATGAGTCATATTTTAAGACCTAAAGATGGTAGCCACCATCTTGGACAGCACACAGATGTATATATATTTTTCACCATTATTGTAGAAAGTTCTACTGGGTACCATTCATCTACGCTTCCAATAACTGTAGACACAGACATTTGATTATTGTTGTTTTTGTTGATTGTTTTATTAGTAGATTTAAGATTATGCCGAGAAGCCTGGCAGAATGGTTTGACAGTGGCCAGAGAGAGGGGAGGGAAGAGTAGGGATATAAAAAAGGGAGGAAGAGGGCCGAGGATTTAGCTCAGTGGTTCCATCACCTGCCTGAGTTCGATCCTGAGTTCGACCCGCAGTACCAAAAAAAGGTCCCAAGTTCGATCCCCAGTACCAAAAAAAAAAGGGGGGAGGAAGAAAGTTTTAGTAATAAGTGGGGAATCATATCTGTCGCTTCAGATTTATTGTTTGAGAAGATCGGGGGGAAAATATCTTTAGCAGCTGACCCCTGGAGAGCAGTGGTACAAACAACACTGGTTCCGATGGGCTGAGGAGGCACATGGAAAGTGCGTAGATGGAAGTCTCCACTTGTAGCTGGCACGAATTCCCATTACAGGGCCGAGTGCGATGGTGCATGGCCAGAATCCCAGCATTCTGGAAGCTAACACAGGAGGGATGCAAGTTGGAGCCCAGACCTAGAAACTGAGCATCTCAGACCATATCTCAAAATTAAAAAAAAAAGTTTACAAAGGGCTGGGGATATAAGTCGGGATGGCCTTGTGTTCAATCACAAGTTCTGGAAAAAAATTCCATTATAGATTATGGGACAGAGCCAGGGTAATGACCCCAGGGAGAAGCAGGACTGTAGATTTCTGCCCTTGTGCTTGTGGTCAGTGTGTTTCTGGACTTTTTGTAGGAGGAGTAGCTCTGGGTATGGCTAGGGGATAAGGACAAGGGTCCCCAAAGAGGGAGAGATTTATGATAAAAGAGAGGAATATTGAAGCCAGGTAGCTTAGCCCATGTTTCATTACTGTAACAAAACACCAGAGACTGTAATTTATAAAGAGTAGATGTGTCTGTGGCTCATGGTTCTGGAGGGCAAGATGTTCAAGAGCAATGAATATCTGCTTGGCCTCTGGTGTGAGCCTCTTATGATGGGCATCACATGGAGAGACACAGCCAGGTACAGCTTAGGTGTTTCTTCTCTTAGAAAATTTTGAATCCCTTCCTGGGGGCCACCCTTGTGACCTTATCTCACCCTAATCACCTCTGTGTGCCATCACCATATGCTTTCGAGCTTGTAGAGGGCACGTTCTGACCAAAGCAGCAGGTTTTAGGGGGAATCAGTATGAACTCCTGTGTAACAGGGAAAGGCCATCCTGTCGACCCTGGAGGTGGCCGGCAGGGAAGTGGAGTGAGAAGGATGGGCCAGACCAGACAGTGTGGCAGGGAAGGGAGTTAAGAGAATGCACGCGGAGGGGTTCTGTTTCTTTGGTAATTCCCGGAGAAGAAGCCACTGTGTGAATGAAAGGTAGAGGGCCTGTCAGGAAGAAGGAAAATGAGAAAGGCCAAGAAAGTTCTGTGGTGAATAGAAAAACAGGGACCAAAGATTCAGGTAAAGATTAACAAGAAAATTATATGGAATCCTACCAAATTCTCTCATCATGACATGCACTGTGCCTTCCTGGTGAATACTAACGACACAAATTATTGAATGCTTGAGGTATCGGGCACTGAACCACACATTTGAAAACCTCCATCAGCTTTTGGATGAGAAGTGATGATTCTCTGGTATAGGTGAACAAGGACAGATAGAAATAATGTTGGAATGAGAAGTGAAGCGGGTATGGATCCCTGTCTCACTATCTGTGTAGCTGTGTACTTTGGGCAGTTTAATTTCTTGAAGCTTCAGATTCCTCTTGGTGAATAGGGGTTGGGATCTATATTTCTAAATTGTTAAGAATATTAAATGAGATAAGATTGTGAAAAGGCCTAGTGCATGCTGGATGCTTGATTTTTAAAAAAAATCATAGAATATTAACTCTTGGGCTGGGGATTTAGCTCAGTAGTTCTGCCACTTGTCCTGCAAGTGCAAGGAGCCAAGTTCGATTCCTGGTACTAAAAAAAAAAAAAGACTATTAACTGTTGGTGCTGAGGGTTCAGCTCACCAGTAGAGTTTTTGCTTAGCATATGCAAGACCCCAGGTTCAATCTCCAGCACTGAAAAAAAAAAAAAAGGAATGCAAATTGTTGCTGGAGCCATCTGATTCAAAGTCATTGTGATTTGACTTCGTGATCCCTTTCTGGTGCCAGGCAGGTACCCTCGGTGTGCAGTGTGGCCTGGTATGAAATTGTTTTCAAGTAGAAAGCAGTGGCCACAGAGATGGTAGCTCAGGGGCATCCTGTTGAAGGCACCCACATCCTAGCACACCGTGACAGCCACAGGAAGCTCACCCCACGCTCCACAGGCCCCACGTGCTGCCAGTTTGTGACCTCTGAGGACTGCACTTTAAAGGTCCTCGATTCCCTCTGCCTGTCCCTTATTGTGTGGTTCTGGAAAAGTCACTTGGGCTCTTCACGCCACAGAGGGAAACTACACTGTGGCTGTGCTGTGGAGAACACGCTATGACGGGCTGGCTGAAGCATGTGACGTTCTGAGTAATTCTTGCAGTTGGCATCTTAGGAGGTATGAAAAGTTCCTAGTCACATAATTAACAGGTGGCAAGGGCTGTGGTAAGATGACAACGCAGCAGACGTGGGGACCTGGGGAGTCTTCTTTGGCAGCAGACCTCAGTGCAGTTCTGAAGACACTGATTAATGACACTGCTTGTCCCCGGTGAGGAACAAGGCAGCATAACACTGCCTTTCCTGCAGGTGTGCAGAGAGATGGGGACCCAGGGAAGAGACTCAGGGCATGTCCAGCTGGGGACGGCACAGCAGGCTTGAACTCAGTCTCCTCAGTGCCCCAGGTGCATCTTGCAGGCATTTTCCCCAAAAGATCTAAATCACTTTTCCAGGCAAAGCCAGAAATCCCGAAACCTCCCAGACCCCAAAGAAACACCCGCTGCCTTGTTGTGGTTGAAATTGCTGCTCATGTTTATTGAGGAAGCAGAACATAATGCATCTGTAGAGATCTAGCTTGCACAATTCTCCAAGCTCAGACTGTACATCAGCCCTAGACTTCCAATTCGAGTGGCTAGAAGCAAAACTACTTTAATGAAATGTGCCCGGGAAGAATGAACTAGAAGATGCACCTTCTACAGCAGCACACCATGAAGATTAAAGCTAAGAAGATGGGGCAGAAGTTTGGCAGCCAGGCACCCTGGGTAGTAGTTCCAGTCCTATCCAGTTGAGGACACAGACTTCTCCCCCTGGGGCAGCAGCCTGCCATTATGACTCAAAGGCATAAAGCTCATCTCCCTAGACTGGCTGCCACAGCAAGCAGCAGCTGGGCTTCCTAATGGCAGAGGATCGGCACCTGGACAGCACCTGCCATTTCCAGTGGGGAAAGTGGCATCATCCACCCTGTGAGGCCCGCAGTGGCCTTTGGGTATTGGATCCTGATGTGGGGCCAGTGGCTCCCACAGGTGGGACAGGAGGGAAGGGAGCTTGCTTTGGGGGCCATTATCAGACGATAACCAAGGGAGGCTGACTTCTTAGAAACACAGCTGGGAGTGGAGCACAGGGGCCTAAGTGGTAAGTGGTGTGAAGAGTGAATGCTCTGCTTGTACTTCTGTTGCCTTAAAAGCCCTCATCCTGAAGAGGGTGAAGTGTGCTGATTGCACACGGATCTGCCACGGCAGGAGTGCTGCTGATGTGGCCAGGACTGTCCGGCTGTGGCCAGGAAGGAGGACAGTATAAAGAAGAGGAGGTTCAGGGACTGGGGATTTAGCTCAGTGGTTCCGCCGCCTGCCTTGCAAGCGCAAGGACCTGAGTTCGATCCCCAGTACCAAAAAAAAAAAAAAAAAAAAAAACCAACTAAAACGAGAGTGAAACCTCTGGAGAAAGCCCTTTGGGAGCCTGAAAGGAGATGAGGTGAGGTCATCTGACCCCATAGCTAGTGAGGCGCTTTGCGGAACCCAAACCGTGTGTTGGGTTTTAAAATTTAGCAGTGGCTGAGCTAAATCCCGATTCAGAAAGACAGCTTGGTGAAGTGCAGCGGCCTCATAGAAGCAACTGCCCTCTGGACTCCAGCGACCTATGGCTCCCTTGATTGGGAAACCTTGGGAGCTGAGGTCGGAAACCAGGTGCGATTCATCTTGTTTAATTGCCCGCTGTCCCGCTCAGGCTCGGGCTCGGGCTCGGGCTCGGGATCGATCCACACCCTACCTGTGTGACGAGCTCACTGAGGCCTAACCTGCCTCGGAGCTGGAGCCACAGTGACTCCGGTGAGAAGCCAGGGCGGAGCCCCTTGCTGCCCGAGCACTTCAGTGCTCCCCAGCCGGGCACTTCCTGGGCGGCTCCCGGAAGCTGAGGCCAGGCCCTGGGCAAGCACACAGCCCTCGAGCGTCCCGCTGTCCCTGGACTAGGCCAGGGCCCAGGCCAGGAGGAGGCAGCACCCGAGGAGAAAGCAAGACTGCCATTCTATGCGGTTAGACACTGCAGAATAGAGATCGTCTACAAGGTGGGAAACGAGTATGCGAAGGGAAGCCGTCCTTCCCGGAGCCCCGGCCTGGCGCGGGCCCAGCCGCCCCTGCACCCACTACCCACGCAGGTAGGGGGCGCGCGCGGCCTCGCGCCCCAGGGCGTTGATGTGCGGGAGCGCGCCCGGCGCGGCCAGCTTCTCGCTCAGCTTCCGGTTGTCCAGTTCCAGGCGGCGCCCGTGCTTCCGGGCCTGCCGCAGCGACCGCTTGACTTTTTTCAGACGCTCGCGCAGCTGCTTGTTCCGCTTCTCCAGGGCCGCCACCTGCTGCTGCAGTTTCTTGACGTGGTCCTCCTCCTCGAACAGGGCCTTCTGCACGGAGGAGCACAGGAGCTGGGGACAGACACGGAGGGAGAGGCAGGTGAGTCTCCGCTCTCCGCTCGACCAGCATGGGGCCAGGACAAACCTGCCCCTGCCCCTGCCCGACCTTGACCTTGCTGGGCCTCCACCCTGTGAGCCCTTGCGCTCCCCCGCTCCAACCCGCAGAGCCCCTGCCTTTGGTTTCTGGCCCTGGCTTCCTTGGAGGATCTTGTTTTTTAAAGATATTCTAAATACTTGTCACAGTAAGAAGGAACTCCTTGCTAAGTAAAAGAAGAGCCTGAAACGGAAGAGTACGCAAAGGATATACTATCTATGGGTAGTTCACAAGAGAGGAACACAACTGTCCTCCAATATGCAAACAGATGCTCAGCCCCACTCCTGATAAGATAAAAGCAAGTTAAAGACACGTGGAATTACTACTTTTCACATGTTAAAAAGTCAGGATTTGAGGAAACAGGTGCTGGACAGAGCGTAGCCCTGGATAAAGAGCAATTTAGCTCTAATCAAAATAAAAGCAAAGTAAATACCCTTTGTTCTAGTAATTCTGGGACTTGGTCTCACGGAAATAATCGCACACGTGCGAACTGGCACCTGTACATCACAGCATTGTTTGTTATTTTAAAAGATGAAAAGCCCTCTAAAACGCCCATCGAGAGAGGCGTGGTTCAGTGACTTATAGCAAATCCTTACCGGATGGAAGGTCGCTGTCTCTGAGAGCAAGGCAGCTCCGTGTGCCTGGCAGTGTCGCGGTCGCTGAGAAGCGTGATGCACAGAGTGCACAACTGATGCCCGTATGTAGCTATGCTCAGACATGTGTACACTGTCTCTGAGCAGAAATGAGAAACTGGTAACTGTGGCTACCCATGGAGCAGAGGGGACAGAGGTGACAAGGACATTTATTTTTCTGTGTACTCTTCTGGACCTTTTGAATTCTGTGTTAGATGCTAGTATTTTACACAGTCTTCTCACCTCCAGCCTCTCTGCTCCTCCCTGCCCTATGTTATCAAGAGCCGTGCTCCCAGAGAAAGGCCTGGGTTTTGAGTTTCCTCTGGCTGGAAATCAGTTGGTCCTCCTTACTGGGAGGTTCTGATTTCTGTGGATTCTGCATCCACAGATTCAACCAACCACAGGTGGAAAGAATTCGGCAACAGAAATTCCAGAAAGTTACAAAATGCAGAACTTGAATTTGCTGTGGGCCAGGCATTGCCTTGAGTCCATCTGTGTACACAAACCCAGCCTTGGGCCTGTTCGCAGATCTTTGTCCCTCCCTGGCACTGGTTGCTTGTGGATTGTTGGCCTTGCGTCTCATTTGTATTTTTGTTTTGCGGTACTGTGGATGGCACCCAGGCAGTGAGCTCCAAACCCAGCTCTTTATATTTATTTTGAGGCAGGGCCTCACTAAATTGTGTAGTTGCCCAGGCTGCATTCAAACTTGGAATCCTTCTGCCTCAGCCTCCCAGTGCCAGGATTACATGCATGCGCTACGATGCCCAGCTGTAGTTAGACATCTGAGATTGTGTCTATGCTGAACATGTGTAGACTTTTTTTTCCTTATCACTATTCCCTAAGCAATACAGAACTGTTGACATAGCATTCACATTGTATTAGGTGTTGGAAGCAATCTAGTGAAGATTAAAGTAGGGGAGGTTTGTGTAGATTGCAACAATGTGTCATTTTAGGTAAGAGACTTGAGCATGTGTGGGTTTTGTGTGGGGGTCCTGAAAATAGTCCCTGCGGACACTGAAGGAGGTCCTTGTCCCCTTATGCTGCAATACGGCAATGTGGTGAAAAGCACAGACTCCCCGGCCAGGCTACCTCCGTTGCACGTCCTGCCTGTCCTTCTGAGAGCAATGACCTTAGGCAGCTTCTCAACCTCAAGGTCTCAGACCCCCTTTGAGACTGGAGGATTTGTTCTCTAAGCTCCTTGGAGTGCTGCAGGTTGACAGCTTTCAGCTGAGTCTCTCTCCAGAATCTGCCCGACTTAGGAGCTGCTCAGGGTTGCAGGGTTCCCTGGAGTACCTGTATCCATGCCTGGTTTACATCCCTACTTGGGACATCTCTGAAGAGCTGTGCTCGCCTCAGCGTGTCCCCGGTAGGTACGGGATTTTTCTGTCCACTCCTCTCACCTTAGAGTCCTGTGTCACCCAGTTTCCTTCATAGAATGGAAGCAGAAATAGAGGGACGCTGCTAGCACAAGCTCCTTGCCTCTCTTCTGCTTCCCTGCCTTTGTGAGCTGAGCAGACTTGCTCTACCACACCCCGCTGCTGTGATGTTTCTGCTTCACCACCAGCCTGAAAGCAGTGGAGCCGGTGACCATGGGCTGAAACTTTGAGCCAAAATAAACCTTTCCCCCTTTAATTCGTTTGTTTCAGGTATTTGGCCACGGTGACTGAGCCACTAACACAAGGATTGAATGAGTTTTAGCTGAAAATTATTCAGAACCAAACACTGATACATACAGATGGCTTCTGTCAGCCATTATTATAGAGTTAAGTCTCTAAAAACTTAGGTTCAGGGATTTAGCTCAGTGGTGCCACCACCTGCCTTGCAAGCACAAGGTCCTGAGTTCGATCTCCGGTAGCCCCCCCCCCCCCAAAAAAACTTATGTGGACCCATCCTGCACTTCCAGTTTTACTGCTCATCCCTCTGCTTCACACACTATGCACAAAGCAAACCTGGTTTGCGCCTGGTAGTTCCTCCAGCACATCCTGCATATCAGGGCTCTGCCAGGCCCATCCTTCTGCCTGGAATGCTGTTTTCCCCAGCACTCCGTGGGGCTCCTACGTGTGCCTTCCACAGGGTCTCCTACTGGGCAAATGTGTCCTTCTACAAGGTCTTGCACTACAGAGAATATGTCTAATGCTCTTGACAGATCACAAACTCCCTATCAATGATGGCTAAGCTTGTAGAGCTTTCAGTGGTAACAGATGCCAGATGTGGCAGGCATGCCATAGGTTCACCACCACTGGCTACATCAGGTTGGGTTTTGTATCCGTGTTGTCCTGGCTCTTTTAGGTATTCATTAAAAAATGTGAGTCATATGAAGTGTTCACTGCAAACACCTCTCATTTAATAAAAGGACTCCTGGGAATGTCCCTGTTACAGGGGAGACCACACAGGAAACACTGCCCTCTTCTGACCATAATGAGATCCCCCTCAAAAAATAGAGAAGGTGGGCTTAGGAAATTCCTCGAGAGCTCATGTTATTTGTATTCTGTGTGATTAGGTGTGACCTGTATAGCTTACTGAGGGTCTGAGATGGGCGGGTAATTAGGATAACCACCACATCCACACTCATTAAGTCATGATAGTTCTGGAAGTTATGGTAGATTCTTTAACCCAGAACCGGACAACAGAGGGTAAGTGAAGTCTCATAAAACAAAAAGATTTGGGGATTCAATCCCTAGGACTGCAAAAAAATTAGTAAATAAAAATAAGAGTGTACAGTATTGGGTTTTTACACGGCTGCTTAGAAAGACTCCAGTAGTACACTGAAACATACCATCAGAGAGAAACTGAAGGCATGTTTTATGCCATTTTTCAAAAGCTGTGTTTTAAAATAAGTAAAAACACAGTGGGTTGGTGGAGCTGATGCAGTCGCTTGTGAGCAGAGCTCTTTCTGAGGCACCAGCCCTCTCCACAGGCCTTGTGCTGGCCATAGCCAGCAGCTCCCGCTCTGGAGGAGGAATTTCACCTCCAGCCAGACTAACAGCCAGCCAAGACCTTCGTGCTGATGACCTGGAGAAACCAAGGTAGAACAGAGGGACAGCTTGAAATGTCGTGCCTGTGGGGGGTATCATTAAGATGGAAATGATAAATCCCGAAGCACCGCTGAGTGCGGAAGGAATGGGCAAGATGACTTGAGTTCCTCAGTGAATTGTGGTCCTCAGAGCTTCCCTTTCCTGGGAGTAGTTGCAAAAAATGACATCCGGGGGCCGGGGATTTAGCTCAGTGGTTATACCGCCTACCTTGCAAGTGCAAGGACTTGAGTTCGGTCCCCAGTACCAAAAAAAAAAAAAAAAAAGAAGAAGAAAACAAATGACATCCAAGAACTCCCGTGGCCTGTCCCAGGTCACCAACAGTGGGCCATGACCCAGGACTCCCTACCGTGCAGACTTCTCCATTGCTGCCTCCAAAGAGGAGAAACCTTCGTCGTAGGAGTTGAGGCAACACCAGGAAATAGTGTTGCCCCTGCTGACAGTATGGAAAGGAGGCCTCCGGAATCCCGGCTATCAGTCCCAAAGAAAATCCTGGTCTTCTGATTAAGAAAGCAAGAATTTGTAGAGGAGTGCTGTGCTTTCAAATGCGTGTGTTTCTGTAAGAAACTCTCCTTTCTCCTGAAATGCTTTCTAAACGAAATCAGTCTCTTTTTAAAACTGCTGCGGGGAAAATCTAGACATGATATTTGCTCACGTAGCTTTGTGGTATGTTTTTCGTAAACAGAGATGAGGGAAAAGGCCAGATCAGGCTGATACAGGTGTTGCTACGTTTTCCATGAAGAAAGCAAAGAACAGCCCTAGAGGTCAGCCCCAAAGTCACATGGAACAGGACGATTCTTGGGCCACTTCTTCCCACTTCCGATGGGCCACGGTGGAGAATTCACTCGCCTGCCAGATGTGGAAACATCTCCGCCTTTCTGTGGTGGCAGAGCTTTTCTCTGGAAGTTTCCATGTGGCTAACAGGATGCCTGCTCTAGGACAGTGGGCAGATTGCCACAGGGGAGTGTGCTCTTTTCATTTCAGCAAGACAGAATCCAGGCTGGGCTATCCATTCTTCCTTGTCTTTGAAAAAAAAAAAAAAGCTTCAAAAGCTAAAAACAACTTGTTGATTATAGAGAACCTTGTATTTTTAAAGAAAAAAAAAATCACCAGTAACTCTGTTAGCTACAGATAGCCACTGCTTTTTATGCGTTTCTTCCTTGGATCGTTTCTGTGAGTGTAGGTGAAAACATTTGCACAGAATTGGAATCATGTTATTAGATTTTCTGTTCTGAGTTTTTGCCCTTGACATTC